CCCCCCTCCTCCTCCTCCTCCTCCTCCTCCTCCTCCTCCTCCTCCTCCTCCTCGGGTCGCCTACGGCCCCAGTGGAAACCGTGCATTCGAGCCCCCTCAGGAGCAGGTCTTCTCGGACTGCCGAGACCTCATCCAGAGCGCGATCGACGGCTACAACGCTCGAGCCTCGGCGGCCTTGCCTCCCTCGCCCTCCTGGCCGACAGGACCATCGCCCGCTGGGCGGCAGGAGGGGATGCCAGGATTTCAAATCGGGCGTAGTCAAAAGATAGTCTGGGGACGATGTTTCTAGTATGGTTTGACTATTTGGGAGTATGTTTTGGCTATGTTTCATTCGTCTTCCAGAATCCGCCTGTAGGAGGACATGCCCGACCTAAGGCTAGGAACGTCACTCCTGGGAGGTTACATTCTGCACGGCGATGATATTTCGCGGTCGAGAATCGGCTGCATCTCGGCGAACCCAGCCGGATTAGGCCTCGTCCCGCCTGATCCTGCTTCATCTGGCCTAACTCCCGGGCTTAATCCGGCCTGATCCGGTGAAGTGGCACCTCATTCGGGCTTAATCCGACGGGGTTTGGACGAGGATAAATCCGTTCCAGAGCGTTTCGGAACGCTCTTGGAGCGTTCTGGAACGCTCTGACAAGGCCGCGGCGCCTGATGCATCCCCCAGAACTGCTGGATCTCAGAGATTCTCGATTTATCCCCCCCTGATGTTATCTTCGTCATGGCTTCGTCTGTCTTAGAATAGCCCTCAATCGTTCCAACGAAGCCTCCCAGGAGTTGCCTCCGAAGGGAGGGCAGCGCTGTCCACGAGCCAGCTGTGCTGGTCACACGCGCCGATGCCCCCCAGAGGCGTCTCGCCACTCCTCCGCGGACGGCGCTCGAGCCGATCGGCTCGGTCGGGCGAGGGGGTCCAGTCGGCTTCGAGTCGGGGCATCGCTCGAACGTGTATGTTTCCAGATAGCTCCTTGGAGAGCTGTAGGGTCGTAGAATTTCGAGGCCGACACCATCGGGTAGCCTTGGAGCTCGTTCCGGCTTCCGTGAAAAGGTCCCGGCGCCCCTTGCCTGAGCCAGAAATCTGTCCGGAGAGTTTTTTTCGAAGCGTTTCCCAACACGTTTGCCCGGAAGCTCTCCAGAAGCTTCTCCGGGAGCTCCTTCCGGGAGCTGCCAGAGCGACGAGAGGCTTGTGCACGCCCGTCTGGCGTCCTGCTATCCGGGTTGTGGACTCTACAAGTTTTCTCGGCGAGGACCATCGAGGAGCATCTTGGTTCATCGAGCAAGAAAAGCACGCGCGAAACCGAAATTTGCCCGGGGAAGGGACGTCCGAGCGATGTCCGGAGGGAAAAAACGCACAGCCACAATGAATCGTTGATTCCCCAGAAAATATGGGGAAAATATGGGAAGTGGGGGGAAGACGAAAACCCCAAAAATATATGAAAATATGGGGAATAACCATATTTGTGTGTGTATTTCTTTGTGTGTCCTGGAGCCCCTTCACGATGGCAAGTGGATGGCCAGTGGTGGGGAGAGCCCAGGAGCAAGCGAGCAGGCCCCCAGGGAGCCCGGGAGAGGTAGAGTTCAGTCGGGCCTGTCCCCTTACAGGAGGAGTACTCAAACATAGTTTAGGATGGTCAGGGGACGATTCCCGTAGCAGTGTTTGATCGTTGGCGGGGAATTCGTGGGGTAGTTTTGATTCTTCGCCCCAAATCCGCCTGCACTTCACATCCCTTATTCATCGCCCCCCCTAAAACCCGACCCCCCTCCAAATACGACCTAATATTCCGGACCCCCCTCTTCGACGGGGCGTCCAAAGAAAGCGCTCTAATAAACCAGACCCCCCCAGTTACAAAAACGGCGCCTTGAAAGACTGGACCCAGGAGACGAGGAATGGGGGGTTTTCAGAAGAGAGCAGGCCTCTCGGAGGACGCGTCATGGGGGGGGCGATAGATGGCCTGTCAGGGCCCCTGACGGGGCCATTCTGGGCACAGAGGGGGAGGTTCTAGATCCCGAGAAGGGGCACGCTGCTTCCCCCCACCGATCGCCCCCCATGAGTTCGCGCCCAGGCCTCCCCGTGCAGGAGGAGAGCAGTGCCGCTCTGCTCCTCGTCTTGCTGGCGGGGTGCTTCCATTGGCTTCGGGCCTCCTCTTGGCCGTCTGATTTCACCAGCCGGCCGTGGAGGAGCAGGGGCAGGCAGGAGGAGAGACAGCCGGAGGAGGAAGGAGGAGGAGGAGGAGGAGAAGGAGCAGTTGCAGCAGTTGCAGCAGTTGCAGCAGCAGCGGCGGGAGCGGCAGAGACAGCCGCAGGCTCCCGACCAGTTGGGTTTCGATGGCTCTGCTTCGGAAAGCGCTACTGCCCCACACGAGACATCAGTGGACGTCTTGGGGTCTCAGGGCTGGGTTTCTTGTGGAGGGCTTCTTGTGCTCCAGCTCCTCTTGTAGTCGCCCTTTTTTTCCATTATATGTATTTCTCTATTTATTTCTTAACACAAAAAAACAAAACAAAAAAACTCTTGTAGTCGCCCCCAATGGTCGCCGACGGGGTCCCGATAGCCCACTTTTCGCAGGCACGTGCGGGTTCGCGCTCGATCGGGGTCCCGGTGCCGATCCCTCGGCGATGCGTCGCTGCTTCCAGCGCGATGCCTCCCCGCCGGAGCCGCTGCCCGCCCCATGTCGTCCCCTCGGCGGTGGTGGGCCCCCCCCTCTGGTGGCACGGGCGGCGGTGTGGTGCGCGAGCTCCAGCCAGTGTTAAGTCGGGCCTGTCCCCCTACAGGGGTATTTTCGACGAAAAACAAAAAATACACCAAAAATAATCAAAAAATAATCCAAAAATAGTCTGGGGACTATTTTTTTTGCATTTTTTCAATATTTTTGGGGTATGTTTGGGGTATTTTTTATTGTTCGTCGAAAATCCCCGTGTAGGGGGACACGCCCGACATAAAGCCCGTGGGTTCAGCTTACCGCTCCATGTCTGGTCTTCGCTGCCACGCGCGACCTCGAAGAGCGGCTGGGTCACCTTTGCGGCTGACCAATCCTCGGTGTGTACACGTGCCCGGCACCTGGCTGCTGTCAACATGGTTGCCATCAGTCTATTTCAACATGGTACCGACGGCCCCCAACCGAACGTGCATCCCTGGGGCTATATAACGCTCACTCCCCAGTCAGTGCTTGCATTAGGGGTCCTAGTGGAAACTGAAAGACTTGGCGAACATTTCCCGCCGATGTTGGTGGCCTGCTCGGTTCCTGGGTTCCCGATTCTGCCTGGGTTCCCCGGTCCTGATCGTTGGTTCCGGTCCGATTTCGGTGGGTCCCGGGTTCCCGGGTTCCCGGGTTCCCGGGTTCCCGATTTCGGTGCCATGGGTTCCGGGTTCCCGGGTACGGAAAGAATGGGCACGATACCCAACAGTACACTTTAGGCGATGCTTTAGAAAACTTAAGTTTTCGGCGAGAGTCTCGATTATTCTTAATGTTTCAATGTAAATCCCAAGATTTTGATCGAAGTTCTGGGTTTTTATTCAAATCCTGAGACTCTGAGTTTCTTAACCCCTGATTTCTTAAGCATTTCGCAGGGTGTACAGTCAACCATGATAGTAAAGATGGGGTTAATTCCCAAGTCTACCCTTGCATCTTTGCCCCTTCGGTGTTCAGTATCTTTCGGGGCGTTCTGCTGCGCTCTGCACGGAAAACGTCAACATGGCGTTCCAAGGCCCTTGCATCCTTACTGCGCATCCTTGCTATCCTGGTCGAGTGTAGTTCCTAGTCATTTTGAACTGGACCCGCTGTTCGCGCCACCGCGGACGTAATTGTTTGAAGACGAAAGGCAGCCTGCCCAGCAGAGGCCGCTGTCGGTTTTAGGCAACATTTGCTGTTGGGCATTGTACCCATGCTTTCCGTACCCATATCGGGCGTCCAAACTCCCCCTTTCTCCCTCATCCTCCCGAGCCGATCTCAGAGCTTGGCTCTTGCAGGCCGGCCCCTCTTGCCTCTTTTGTTTGGCCTTCCTTGCTGCTTGTTCTTCTCAGGAACAAGCGTCTGCGGCGTCTGAGGAGCACGGATTACTCCCTGAGCCCACGTTCAACGACGACGACGACGACGACGACTTCCCTTTCCCCCGCTCTCTCTCTCTCTCTCTTTCTCTCTCTCTCTCTCTCTGTCTCTCTTTTTTCCTCCTCTCTCTCTCTCTCTCTTTCTCTCTCTCTCTCTCAACAAAAAAAGAATCGGGCGTGAGCATGAACTTGCGCAACTCCGCGCGGCTGTCTTGGACTGGCGCTGGGCCCCCTCGGCGCCGCCCCTGGCGCGCTCCGCTCTCCTCAGACATGCGGCCGTTACAATTTTTTCGACGCGTGGGCCCTGGAGGTCGGGACCACTCCCCCAGGGCGAGGAGGAGGAGGAGGAGGAGGAGGAGGACGACGAGAATGACGAGGAGGAGGAGGAGGAGGAGGAGGAGGAGGAGGAGGAGGAGGAGGAGGGGTCGGACGGGCGCTTCGCCGCCGCCAGCGTTCAAGCACGCGGTCTGGAGCGGTCTGGAGTCGTTGTTTGACGTTCCCGGGGCCCAGCGAGGGCCCCCGGAGGCGGAAACCAGTGCAAAACCCGCCGCTCCAACTTTTTGGGGGCGTTGGATCTCTGGGCTTACCACTTGCCGCCCAGGTCACGGTGTTCGCGTACGGCCAGACCGGCGCGGGCAAGACCCACACGATGTACGGCAACCCCGACCAGCCCGGGCTGGCGCCCCGCGCACCGTGCGCGGGGGGTCCGCGGGGAGGCCTCCTCCTCCTCCTCCTCTTCCTCCTCCTCCTAATTACTCGTCCTCCTGCTCCTCCTCCTCCTCCTGCTCCTCCTCCTCCCCCTCCTCCTGCTCGTCCTCCTCCTCTGCCGCAGCCGGGTCGGCCGCTCCTCGGGTCACCCGCGGGGGCGCGAAGGTGCAGTCGAGCATCCGCGGGCCGCGGTCGCGGGGCAGGGCGCTATGGCTGCTGCCGGTGGCGGAGCCGCGCTGGCAGCAGCGTCGTGCGCGGGCCGGCGGCGTGGGAGCAGCAGCTCGGCAGCGAGAGGCCCAGACCCCCTCGAGCAATGAAAAAATCACGGCGGGAGGTTTTCCCTAATTTTCGGCCTCGGGGGGCCCTCACCGGGCCTCGGGAGCGTCAAAAAACGGCTCAGGATGCAAAGCCTGTCCTGGGGAAAGGGTCGGGACCCCTGAGGTCGACGTAATGAAAAAATCATTACGTCGGGGGTCTGGGGGGGGAGGTCGATGGAATAGTCGAGCGATCGTTTGGTCCACACGCCTCCTTCCGGAGAGCTGGGCCAGCGTTTCGCAGCCAAGCCTGAGATCCCGGCGTCTCAATTGTTTGAAACCGGGAGTTTTCGATATCCGATTCGAAAAATGGCTCAGAAGGATGGGGACCGGGGCTCCGGTCGTGATTTTCTGCGATGTTTGAATTGCTTCGAGACGTCGTGTCTCAAGGTTCCGAAAAGCTGGGCCAGCGTTTCTTAGCCAACCTGTGTTGGGCAGCTGGCCCAGTTTCTCGAGCACGCTCGTCCTTCCAGCGTTGACACAGTCGTCTGAAGACAGCTCTTGTAAGCCTGCCCAGACTTCTCAAACCATACTCTTCCTGATCGTATCTGGCGCTTCGCGTGCCGCGGTCCCGCGCAGAACGGCTGCCCCATCGCCAGCCTGAAGCGCATGTCCGTCTGGACGACTAGCATTGCCTCAGCTCGATGCCCTTCTCAGGGATCTCCTGAGACTGCCATCGCCTTTCTCTGAAGAAGACACCACGCCATGAACATAAGCTGTTTGCGCTCCGCGCGGATTTCTTGGATCCGCGCTTGCCCCCCCGGCGGCGCCTCCGGCGCCGCCGCTGGCGCGCGCCCGCGCGCCAGGGAGGGGGGTCCGGCGTAGATCCATGAAGTCCGCGCGGAGCGCCACATGCTCACCGTCATGCCGTTTGTTCTTCTTGGAGCATCCCTTACAAGACTGTCATCGCCTCTTGGCTTGTCAGTCTGAGGGACAGGGATACGTCTGAGGCTGGTTTTAAGTCGGGTCTGTCCCCCTACATGGGGATCTTCGACGCAAGAAGTAAAGAATGCTCCAAAAATAGTCCCAAAATAGTCCAGGGAGTATTTTTGGAGCATGTTTGGACCTTTCTGGGGCATTTCTGGGGCATTTTTTGTTTTTCGTCGAAATGCCCCCTGTAGCGGGACACGCCCGACAGAAGGCTGGTTTGCATGACCTCCTCCAAGGGCGAGGGCGCGAAGGGCCGGCGCGTGGTGGGGCGCCCGTGCGCGAAGTTGGGTGGCCTGCGCCTCTCGGCGACAGGCCCAGCCTTACGTCGGGCCTGTCCCCCCTACAGGGGGATTGTCGACGAAAAATAAAGAGTGTTCAGAAGCAGTCCAAAAATAGTCCAAAAATAGTCTTGGGACTATTTGTTTCAGTATTGTTTGACCTCTTGGGGGCATTTTGGGGGTATTGTTTGACCTTTTTGGGGCATTTTGGGACTATTTTTTTTCAGTATTGTTTGATTTTTGGGGGGCATTTGGGGGGTATTTTTTTATTTGTCGTCGAAAATCCCCCTGTAGGGGGACAGGCCGGACATAAGCCCAGCCGCAGGCGCCCTGTGCAGCTGGGCGGCCGGGCCTCTCGGGGGCTGGGCCTCCCCGAGGCTCGCCGCCCAGCAAACCACCCCCCCCAGCCCGAAGGCCCCGATTTGCCCTCCACTTCCAGTGGGGCGGGGTCGGGGAGCATTGAAAAACACGTACGAAGCTCGGGTCGGGCGAAAGGGGGGGATTGGGAAAGGGGGGGTTACGAAATTTGCTGCATGCAGCTGGTTTCGGCCTCGCCGAGGGGCCCATTCCTCGATACATAGCCGCCTCCGGCGCCGGGAGGCGCCGGGAAAATCAGCTACGTGAGCTGATTCTCACCCCCCCCCCTTTGCTATCCCCCCCTTTCGCCCGACCCGAGAAGCCCGCAGCCAGCCCCCCCAACCCGAGATTCGCGCCTTCAGGTTGGGTTGGGGTGGTCTGGCAGGTAGTCAGAAGCCGGCTCCGGGGTCCGCAAGGGTTGTTGCGACGGCTCGGTCGGTTCGGTTGCGTCGCAGCCGGTCGCGTTCGGTCGGTTCGGTTCGGTCGGTGATTGCGTCGTTGCCGCGTCGCTGTGCCCTTCTGGGTGGCTTCCGGCCCGCCGATGACGGCTTCGGTTTCGGCTTCGCGGTCGGTGCGGTCGGTGTTCGGTTTTGCTGCCGCCGTGCGCGGCCTTGATCTGTGTCGGCACCGGGCTCTCCCTCGCCGCGCCCGGTGACAGTCCCCGAGCGCGCTCCACTACTCGCAAAGTGCTTGTTCTCAAACGTTCGGAAAAGTCGTCCCCGCGGCGGATCCAGGCCATTTGCGAGTAGCCAATTTGCGATTAGTGGATCGGCGCGCCCGTCTGGACGGGGGCCCCCACTGTCAACCACGAGACTTGGCGCTGGCGCCGCCGAGGCTCGTCCTGATAACAGCGGGGCCCCAGCCTCGAGCTGCGCAGCTGGCAGCGCGGCCCGAAGGGGCCCCAGACGCCCGAGGCAGCGTGCGCTTGACGGTGTTCTCGGCATCCCTCGCACGTGTGCATTTTTCCTTCGGCGAGGACCATCGAGGAGCATCCTTGATCATTTCGCGAAAAAACCACGCACGAAACCGGAAAAAGCACAGGAAATGGACGTCCGAACGATGGCCAGTGTTGCGGTTGGTTTGCGCGGCGATGGCGCGCCGGCGATGCCAGCGAAGGTGTTCAAAGTTGAACTCCGCATGGTGGAACGACGCGGAAGCACTGAGGGGCACGGCAACGCCACAGGGCCCGACGGGGCCGCGATCGGTTCAAGGTGGAACGATCGCGACGCGTCAAGAACTTCTGCGCGCGCCGACGCCGCACGAACCTACCGTACCCCAGCGGCAACCGGGAGCATGGGCCGCCCCGCTTTCAAGCGTGCGATCTGGATTGCGGTGGGCGGGGGCCAATCGCCAGGGGCCAGGGGAGAAGCGGGGGTCCTGAGGGAAACGGGTCATGAGGTCTTCGCGCTTATCGGGCGCTCGGGGCCACCCACGGGCCCTAGGGCTGTCAGAAAACGACTCAGGAGGAAAAGCTGGTCCTGGGGGAATGCCCCAGGGTCCAGGACACGTTTCCCTCAGGACCCGTTTCCCCGTGTTCGTCACCAAGCGCGCCCCACTACTGCTCGCAAAGTGCCTACTCGCGTCCGAAAAAAGATGTTTATAAAATTAGCCTGGCGAAGGACCCAACCAGATGCAGGTGTGAAGACCGCAATTGTGATTAACTTTTTCGGTGGTGATCCCTATGAGGCAACGAACCGTGCTAGGGGGGTGCCGAAATGAGCGGCGTGGCACACAACGCGAACGAAAACGAACAACACAATGCGGACTGCACCACGGGGACCTTCGGTGGGGCTCCATACGGGGCCACGAAACGCTGTACTGGGTGGGGGGGACGCATGCGGACTGCGCCACGGAGACCTCTGGTGGAGCTCCCTATGGGGCCATGAAACGCTGTCTTGGGTGGGGGGGACGCATGCGAACACCCCCACGGGGGCCTTCGGTGGAGCTCCCTATGTGACCACGAAACGCTGTTTTGGGCGGGAGGACGCATGCGAACACCCCCGCGGGGGCCTTCGGTGGAGCTCCCTATGGGGCCACGAAACGCTGTCCTGGGCGGGGGGGGCGCATGCGAAACCCCCACGGGAGCCTTCGGTGGAGCTCCCTGTGGGGCCACGAAGCGTTGACCTGGGCGGGGGGGACGCATGCGAACACACCCACGGGAGCCTTCGGTGGAGCTCCCCATGGAGCCACGAAGCGTTGTCCTGGGCGGGGGGGGCGCATGCGAACACCTTCACGGGTGCCTTCGGTGGAGCTCCCTATGGGGCCACGAAACGTTGTCCTGGGCGGGGGGGACACGGTGACCTTCGGTGGAGCTCCCTGTGGGGCCACGAAGCGCTGTCCTGGGTGGGGGGGGACGCGTGCGAACACCCCCACGGGGGCCTTCGGTGGAGCTCTCTATGGAGCCACGACGCGCTGTCCTGGGCGGGGGGGGCGCATGCGAACACCCCCAATGGGGCCTTCGGTGGAGCTCCCTATGGGGCCACGAAACGCTGCCCTGGGTGGGGGGGGCGTTGTCCTGGGCGGGGGGGACGCATGCGAACACCCCCACGGGGGCCTTCGGTGGAGCTCCCTATGTGGCCACGAAACGCTGTCCTGGGCGTGGGAGACGCATGCGAACACCCCGGGTCTGGCTTCCGGTGGAGCTCACTATGGGGCCACGAAGCGCTGTCCTGGGCGGGGGGGACGCATGCGAACGCCTTCACGGTGACCTTCGGTGGAGCTCCCTATGTGGCCACGAATCGCTGTCCTGGGTAGCGGGGGCGCATGCGAACACCCCCACGGGGGCCTTCGGTGGAGCTCTCCATGGGGCCACGAAGCGTTGTCCTGGGCGGGGGGGGCGCATGCGAACACACCCACTTGGGCCTTCGGTGGAGAGCCTATGTGGCCACGAAGCGCTGTCCTGGGTGGGGGGGGCGCATGCGAACACCCCCACGGGGGCCTTCGGTGGAGCTCCCCATGGAGGCACGAAACGCTGTCCTGGGTGAGGGGGACGCATGCGAACACCTTCACGGGGGCTTGCGGTGGAGCTCCCTATGGGGCCACGAAACGCTGTCCTGGGCGGGGGGGACGCATGCGAACGCCCCCACGGGGGC